CTTCTGGCCTATATAATTCTATAATTCTGTTAAATAAAATCATTCAATTAAACTCATCATTTTCTTATCTAACTTCATAAATGCAGTTTTCTAAGTCACTGCAATACCTGGTCTTGATAATGCAAATCCTTGGTTCAAGTACAGAATAGCCACCCAGTAAATGGGTCAATTCCGTTATTGAACTCTATCCTCTTTCAATAGACCTGGAAGTGTGTTATATAATGTCTGAACATTCTCTTTTGTGAGAAAGTTTATTTGGATAAAATCAATACTTCCGAGTTATTGGATTAAATGTGGAGTTCATTGTTAGGGCATGGAAATCTAATACAAATTTCTGTATTAAAGTCTCCTGTGATTCAACTGTCATGTCCAATAATCAGAAATAGCTTAGTAAAAGGGGTATGTCTGTTTAGTACATTGAGGATGCCAACTTAACTGTATATATGTCTGTTAGCACAGCGAATATACCAATTTAAGGTAGATATTGCTCTTGACCATGGTATAAGGCCATTATTCACCTGTCGGGATGATATGAGGAATATCCCTTGAAGGATATCAATATTTCCCTCAGTCACTGCGTTCCCTCTGGAAATATTAATATCATCCTTGTGATATTCCCATATCAAATCCCTCCTGGTGAATAACTTCTTTAAATGCCCCTTTAAATTGGTATATTCACCATGCTAGCTGACATATTCAGTTAATAACGCAAATGCGAGTAGGTAGTTAACAGTTTCACCACCAGGTGGCGCGCTCGGGTCAGATAGCATGGCGGGTATAGTAGAAAGTTCCCTTTTACTTAAATTACATCTGTTTTAGTGGTTCAATTTTCATATAGCCCTTATGTATCGAATAGTTATGCAAATTAAAGTATGTCCAGTAAAAAAAATGTTATATGTCCAATACAAGAAAAGATATTTCACTTTTTGTGATTTTGTAATATGGGGTCTATGGGGAATCAACCCGAACTAGAAGTCACATTTTCAAAAAGATTAAATTTTCAAAGTTGATAAACAATTTTGAAACCATATTTTAAGATGTATATTTACATGTAGATTTCAAATATGACATCACTTTGACTGAATTTTGAATATTTCATGACATAAATCAAGATCATTTCTACTCGCATCTACTCTATTGGCATTCTCACTGTACGAACTGACATACTATACTATACTGCCAATTACCCAAATGTGAGTAGGTAGTTACCAGTTTCACCACCAGGTGGCTGATTCGGGTCAATTAACATGGCAGGTATATAAGAAAGTTCCCCTAAACTTGAATATTATCAATTTAAGTGGCTCAATTTTCATATAACCCTTATGCGTCTGATACTTATACTAATGAAAATGTGTCCAGTAAGGCAAAATATTATCTGTCCACTAAAAGAAAAGATATTTCATTTTTTGTGATTTTATAGCATGAGGTCTATGGGGAATCTCCCCGAGCTAGAAGTCACATTTTCAAAGAAAATTAATTTTTCAAAGTTGTTAAAACCCGCTGAAGGTAGTACACAATAGACCAAACAGTTGATTATTTTTCACGAATCTACAGCTACAGGGGGTCTGCGAGGATTGCAATCAGGAAACAAAAGCAAATCTTTTGTTTAGTGAGTGCAATCACAGTGGACCCCCTGCAACTGTGGATTCTTAAAAAAAGAATCCACACTTTACGCCAACAACTGTATGCTGAAAGGGGCAAATATGTTTTCTCTAACTTAAAACCCATACACTGTCACCTATGCAAGCTAAACGGTAATCTTTAGTAACCTACACGCTTTAGTTATAGCCAATTTTCAGTTGATTTTATTTTCAGTTGACCTTGCATACTAGTAGCTAAAACAAAGAATAAATATTTAGCAAAAAAATCCATCTGGCAATATTACTTTCAGAATGTGCACTCTTGATTCTTCGAGCAACAGTCAAAGAAAACAGTTATATTCATACCTTTTTCTGCCTTTCTTGTCGATATCCATATCAGATACAGGTTTTCCAAATCTAGTGTTAGAATTGGAGGAATATCCAGGCTCTGATATGTCGGATGTTTCGACACTGTACCGTAAATCCAATGTGCCAATTTCACTACTATCTATTTCATATTTATTTACTCCTCCTAGACTATATCCTATTTAGTCTGAATTATATTCAGACTGACTTCTAGTCAGTCTGTTGGATACATACTATTACTCCTCCTATAAGTTCCCCAAGAAAGTTTTCAACATCTTCATCCATGTCGATATCTGTAATTCCTTGAAGGTATCCTGAGTCAAGTTATCCATCCTTTCGTATTCCATGCTTCTTCTCGAATGTTAAACTAACTATACTGAACATAGCGTTGACACCACGTACATACATGCAATACATACAAATCCAATACTAATCACCATTGCCCATTCAAATGATCACGGGTCAGTGCACTCACTACGATTACTATAGTTCATTGAAAATTAGCTATTACTAGAGCGTGTAGGTTACTTAAGATTACCGTTTAGCTTGCATAGGTGACCGTGTATGGGTTTTAAGTCAGAGAAAACATTCGTGAGAGTTAATTCTTTGAAATTAACGGTTCGGCTAACGCCTCACCGTTATTTTCAAAGAATCAACTCTCACTCATGCTTTCTCTATAACATAAACACTTTTTAAAACCACATTTCTAGATGTAATTTTACATGTAGATTTCAAATATGATATTACTTTTTAATGACGTAAATCAAGATTATTTCTACTCGCATCTGGGTTATTAGATTGGTATAATTCACAATGCAAGCACACATATTTAGTTAGGTTGGCATATTTACTGCAAAAACAGACATATAGTCCCTTTAAAGGAATGAGAAGTGTATTGCCTCTGTAGCTTTTACATGCTTCTTACTATACCATATCTCAGAGGCATACATTAAAATTGGATCAACCAACCTATCAAAAAGATGCAGGGCAACAAAGATAGGAACATCGTTAATTTCTTTTTTATATTATAGCTTGCCATTTTCTTGTAGATAACATATGTGTTTATCAAAATTAATGTTATTAAACATGCAGCCCAAATATATATAATGGTTAACGCTTTCAATAATGCTGTCATTAAAAGTGAATTGCACATTGGATTTTGAATTAAAAATCATTGATTTTGTCTTTAATGTGTTAACAACAAGGTGATACCTCTTACAGAACTTAAATAAACAATTTAACATTTTTTGCGCTCCATCTTCAGTATTTGACATTAACATTAAATCATCAGCACCAGCTTATCACCATCAAATTGAATTCCATACTTCTTTGGTAAATAGTCTGCAATCATCAAGAAAGTGGTTAAATAAATAAGTACTAAGGAAAGAGCCCTGCATTACATTATCTGTCTCAAAAGTAGGGGTGATACCATCTTTGAGTTTGAGGCAAGCTTTGAATTTTTTACACATACTGGAAACAACTTTGAAAATATTTGAACTAGGTGATATACCTGCTTTGCATAGTTTATACATTAGTGCTGACCTATTTACAAAATCAAACGCTTTTCTGAAGTCAATCGTAATACAATATACTGGTTTCTTGAATCGTTTATAGTGAGATATTAAGATATATAAATTGCCACTTGTCTGATGTCCAGTTTTATAGGCACCTTGAAGTGGATCTTGGGTATTTCAACATTAAAAACAAGTCTATTCTGAATGATTGAGTCGAACACATTGCCTATGCAAGCTAAAACATTTATACCTCTATAATTATCAGCATCAAATTTACTAACTTGTTTAAAAATAGTTGACAACATGCCTATGCTCCATTCATTTGGGTAATCTCAACTAAGAAAAAAATATGATTAAAAAGAGCAGTGATATCAGGAACAAGTGATTTGCAGTTCTCAATTATGCTTGAGGGTAAACCATCAATCCCAGCAGATTTATTATGATTAACTTTATTTAAGGCCATATACACTTCAGATTCTTGAATATTGTTATTTTGGACATTATGACTCAATTTCCTTTCATTTGTTAAAATACTGTTGACATATTCATTAATTATGAACATTTACACCTCAACTAGGGCCTCATGATCAAAACAGTCCATACTAAGGCAATTGACCAAGATTTTTGAACGCTCTGAAGAGTTCTGGAGTTTCAATTGGAATTTCTGAAAGCTGTTTATAGGCATAGATTTCATCATTTTCCAAAATTCTGTTGAATTATTTGATTTAAAGAAAATAAGGGACTTTAATTGATCTGCTTGATACCTTCTTTTTTCACGTTTTTTTGGGTTTGATTATATTTTTTCTGAATTTCATCTGTCACACTATCAGGTAAGTTTTGTTTAATAGCTAAGTGGAGGTCCTTTTCAGTTGTTTACATTCACTATTAAACCATGGGTTTCAAAAAATGAATTTTTGGGGAAAAATGTAAATTTTTTGAATTTACCTGGGATGATATCAATATGATCCCAAGTATCATCCCTCTAATCCTGATATCATCCCAAATATGTGATTTATCACTTGCTATTATATACCTGACATTGCTCACTGCTTTGACTATGGTATCCGCGAGTACATACCCCTTTCAATTGGTAACTTCGAAAGTTATATATAACAAAGAACAAAACATGATGATTGTAGCAGTTTACAACGAGACATTGTATTTACTTGACAATGAATTCCTGGACATACATCACTAGTTATTGAGAGATCCCTATATTTTCACTAGTTACTGTTTACATGTATAGAGACCCCTATATGTTCACTAGTTACTGTTTACATGCATAGAGATCCCTATATGTTCACTAGTTACTGTTTACATGCATAGGGACCCCTATATGTTCACTAGTTACTGTTTACATATATAGAGACCCCTATATGTTCACTAGTTACTGTTTACATGCATAGAGACCCCTATATGTTCACTAGTTACTGTTTACATGTATAGAGACCCCTATATTTTCACTAGTTACTGTTTACATGCATAGAGACCCCTATGTGTTCACTAGTTACTGTTTACATATACATGTATAGAGACCCCTATATGTTCACTAGTTACTGTTTACTTGTGTATCGATACAACATTCAATGATACAATCTCAATTCTTCATTTTAACAAATGTCACTCAATCAAATTTTCTACTTATAATTGTATTTGAAATTCATACATGCACCCTTTAATACTTCAAAACATACTCTTTCCTTCAACAAATTTCTCCTTTTTAAAATATTTCATTTTAAAAGTTTGTAAAAATTTTTGCAAATGTGTGAAATCCTCATAAAACCTGAACTGCAAATATGGATCAATTTAAAATTTAAAAACAACTTTGTCTCCATGGAAACAGTTCAATTTATGACCAGTTTTAAATCACTATATTATTTTTTCAAAATATAAATCACAACAATAAACTTCTAATGATTTGTTATTTAGAAATATGTAACATTCATACATATTCGAATGTGTCAATACAAAAATATGGCAACTCCATCCAGTAGATATAGTACATGGTAGTTCTGAGATTCTCCCTAAGTTTTAAGTATTTTTTTAAATTACACAGTGATGTATATCATCATCTTAAATTGTGAACTCTCCATTGTAAGTGAATGTGAACCCAGAGAATGCAACGATGCAGTGATATACAACTAAACCATTGTGCAGATCAATCATCAACCACATGAGCAAAATGATTAAACTGTTCTGTACCATGTTATTATACCAAATGAAAATGCATTTGGAAAATATTAATGATTAACCTATAAGCATATCTATGAAATAGATATAACACATGTACATGTAATACCAGGCTGATATCACACACAAAGTATTTTCAATCTATACCCTTCTTAATAAGTATACATAAAATTGTAAAATAGCGTGATAAACAAAGAAATAAAATTGTTCAGCACCTCTAAATATGAATCTTAAAAATTGGCTCTGGCATAAAAACTCATGAAAAACTAAAACTAAAAACAATACACTATCAGTACACGAATACTTCCTGCATTTACCCCATAACAAATAGAGAATCAGTCAACAAACCTCCAAAAAATAATCAAATACATTTTTGACATTTAGAACAGTTCATGTTTGTTAATTATATGTAATTACTCATGTAACATCTGGTTGAATGTACTCTTCAAACACTTGAAATAACACACTTGAATGATTTCACATGATACTAGAATGTACCAAAAAACAGACACCTTTCCATAACCTCCAAGTTCTGGTAAAATGAAGAATGCATTTGAATGACATAAAAATTATTTGACAATATTAACTCTTGAATATGCTCTGACAAAAACATGTGGCTCCATGCAAAATTCATGTTTGTGAAAATGATATGTACAACTATAAAATGGTATATTGACTTCAATGTTGTGAGAGAATTGTACGATTGTACACACAATACAGTTCAGTCCCGTCACAGGTATTGAATAGGGCCTTTTCACGGCATCCTACACACAGCATATTTATTACAAAAATACAAGAAAACACCTAGTATAGTGCTCTACTATATAATATTCACATACATATAAAGTCAATTTCAGTCTAGCAATTCCTAATAATTATAACAATATGTCACCACTTTTGGTGGTGACATAATAAAATGAAAAGCGGCTTCATAAAAACAATTTTCTCAGGATTCCAAATATCACGAGTTCCATGTTTCCATTGCATTTTATAAACAAATATCGATATTTCTAAATAGTTCATTGAAAAACTATTACACGATTTGAGTTTGCAGTTATTACTTCAATTTCTAATAATAATAACAACAATATAAATGCAAAAAACATTTACAGAACGAATTAGACAATTTGCTTGCTAGGCTGACATTGTTTTTATGAATTTGTGATGACGTATGTACAAGCTTTTGAGTAACTTTTGAGTAATGTTTGAGTACCTTCCACACATTGGATGACTAGAATATACATATTCACCCCATTTTCCTGCTGCTTTAACATGCCTCATCTTATATTACAATTAACATTTTCAAAGAATGTTTTATAGTGATGATTATATTAACATCATGGCCACAAACCTAAATATATTTGGATACTTACATATACATGTACAACTTAATAATTGCATTCAATGTAAGCAATCGTACACCTAAATAAATGTGTTTTTAACTTTTTCTTTCCCAAATGAAATCAGCTAATCTGTTACAATGATTTCATATTATATCACACATGCGGTACATTAAGCTCTCACATATGAAATTATTTTCTAAAATTCAAATGATGAAAATGTTCACTGTAACTAAGATGCATCAGAGAGGCCTCATTGCTATGGTAACCACTATCCTCGTTAAAATGCCACAATTGTAATAGGTTTTCTCATTGCAACTTCTACATGTACAGCTTATTCTACTTGATATAGACATATGCGCGGAGATCTACTCAGCAAATACACTCATGTATATTTCTCTATATACTGTAACTTTACTTCATTTGAGTTGTTGGCATGCTATATATAGATTATTTGCGATTCTCGATAAAACATTAATCAAAATAAAAATCTCAACGGCAAACAAGTTCACAATGTTCCCAGCTTCTCTATCAACAACACTAAAGTGTAAAAATTGAACTCCTTGAAAATTCACAAATGACGTTAAAATCTTTTTTCATTGCTTTTGAGACAGCTGTGAAAGTTGTGAAATTGTGCGCTATAATCTACTTTATGGTCCTTAATAGTCTATCACATAAAAATTAAATACATTTAATACAAACATATATATATGCATGTAAAAATATAGCTTTTTCTAACAGTACATTGAATGATCATAAATATGTAAGCCTCCAATCTGACATAACACATACATGCAGCCTTAACATGTGGCACATACAAACATACATGTAGCATATCCATGTATATTGAACTGCACTCTTGACTCAACTCATATTTGTATATACTACAGTATTTATTTATAATATATCAAGTTCTCTATCATTAAAATATTCCGATTTCACCATCCAGTCATTTTAATATGTGCAACCTAAGGCGAATCATTGTCGATTTACGATAATACAACACAAGTTCAGTGTAAATTCTTATTTGGCAATGCGATCAGGATCTTTATCCAGCTCTGTTTTAATTTCATGTCATCCAATCTATGGCGCTCTTTATGTTGTAACACCTGGTGAACATTCTGCTGATTATCTAATAGGACATACACATATGACCTCTATTGCCTAAACAGGGTACTAATCTAGCAGGATCTGGCATTATGGCCTCAAGTGGTTACTATGGCAATCCAGGAGATTACTTGTTGACTGATGTTAAATCACAGCACCGTACGTCCCCAATAGATGGAGCTCTTCAAGACTCTTCCATTGGCTCTGAGATAGCTGGAGATAAGGACCCCTCCTCCACACTGCAACATGTAAGGAAAATCGAAATAATTCCATATTTTATTAAAATCAGACTTATTTTATATAGACTGCTAATGGAAGATATTTTTGAGGAATCTTAAGTATTAAGAGCATGTTTTTTACCTAGATTGTTTAGCTGTGACCATTGATAATGAGGCAAGTGCTGTAACAGTGTCTGTTTCCTCCCGTTCACGTCTCTGGGCTTCAACATAGCAGCATGCTATAGTGGATGTGTGACGCTTTACACTGGACCAATAGTTGGCCTGGATTCTCACACAGTTTTCCATCGTCTCTATGGCATTCTTGTTAGGAAGTCGGACGAGCTCTTCCTCCTTCACTTGGGGTATCTAGAAACAGAAGATATGTTTGGACAATATGTCTAGTCTGTCTGCCTTGGGTACCTAGAAACATTAAAATTATGATATTGTAATATATAGACAGATAAAGAAAAGAATGGCAAATGAGTGATAAGAACAGGTCAATACCTTATCATTCAAATTCAGCGTATACTATCGATTACACCAATTTGATCTTAAAGAAGCTTCATATATACGTAGTAAGGTAATTAGGCTATTAAACAAATCATCCTATTTTGTAAGTAATGTAGAATTTCAAGAGAAGGGTATTCATCTTCCGAATTTCCATATGTGAGCATTGCCTTGGGCTTTCAAAATTGGAGAAAAATGCTTCCTGTACACACGACACTTGAACGCCCATTGTAATATACACACCTCCTCTCCTAGGAGAGCTTTAACACACATCTCAGAGGCATCACATATAGATGGCAGGTCATAGCCTCCCTCTAAGGCAAGCACCAATTTACCATCTGCTAGAGTTTGCAGCTGTTTTGTCATGTAGCCAAAACCTGCAAATAGTCAATTTGTTATTAGAATGATAGGATATAACTGCAATTGTGCCACTGAAAACTGAATCAAGAATTTATATTGAATCCTGCCATTGAAATGGAATAAGGATAAATAAAAATGAGCCAATCACGATTTACTTCACTTAAGTTTGGATCTTGACTAGATTGAAGGCTGAATCGTATCCTCAAACTTAAGATTGAATCATGTCATAACTGACCGAATCTCATTACATTAAACTGAATTGTGTGACTTCTAAACCTGAAATGTGTCACTTTGAACCAAATCATGTCACAAAAGACTGAATCATGTCACTTCAGACTGAACCATGTCTCATGACATTTCAGGCTGAATCCTGTCATTTAAGACTACATATTTTAACTCTATAACTATCACTATATGTAAACTTACAGGCTGCAGATAGATTGTAACCTCCTAATGGAGCTGGGTGACCGGCTGCAGCATCAAAACCAGCTGACACTAGCACCACTTCAGGCCCAAACTCTCGAGCTATAGGCATCACGATACTCCTGGAATAACACACATGGCAGCGTTAATTTCTATGTGATGAAATCACATAAAATAGGTGTAGATTAGGGTATGAGCAATGAAGAGGAAGTGCTGTGACTCAGTCTAACAGTCATGTATAAACTCTTTTGAAATGAAAACATTTAATTGTTTAGAAAATGTTAGTGTTTGTTAATAAGGTGTAATAAACCAAATACTTGAAATTACAAATAGGACATTATGAGGCCTTTATTCTGTATATAATCACTGATATACCTCCTACTGTGACAGATGACTTGAAAATTGGAGATGTACATAACACAGAGAGAAATGTGACTTACCGGAATGCAGCAAGGTACTCGGCATCTCCCATGGCATTTTCAGGCCCACCGGACCATGCAATATTCACATTGTACCCCAGACCACTACTTGAGCCACAATCTTCTGGGCTACCAGTCCCAGGGAAAAAACTGCCACCCTCATAGCGATGTAAAGAGAGGTAGAGAACATTGGGGTCATCATAGAACTGTTGTTGGGTGGAGTTGCCATGGTGAACATCCTGCCAAACAACAACAAGGCATTAACGAAATGTCACCACAACAAAAAAAAATTTAATCAATTTGAAAAATGCCTTTTTGACCTTTTTAAACCTTAAGACCTTTCAGACCTTTTACCAGGTCAAATCTCAAATGTAAAGCCAGATTTGAATTTCTGAGACTATTGAGTAGAGCACATCCTTTCAAACGAAAATTCTCCTAAGACAGATTCTAGAGAGATAGTGAGGGTTTTTGTGATCACTTACCCAGTCAACGATTAGCACTTTCTTAGTTTTTAATCTGAGTCGTAACTGTTTGGCGGCGATGGCAATTGAGTTAAAATAACAGAACCCCATTGGTTGATTTTCCTCTGCATGATGCCCAGGAGGCCGAACTATCGCAAAACCATTTTTGAGTTCACCGGAGCCAACAAGTAGAGACAGTTCAGTGACACATCCAGCTGCAACCCTGGCAGCCATGGCTGTGTGGTTATCGTTCCATACTGTATCTGAGTCAATGCCAACACCTCCACATTGTAGCATACAAAACCGCACATGGAGATTTTCTGGAATCGTACGAAGAAAACCATTTGCTTGCTTATTCACTAATACACATTCTTATTTATCTCTGCATTCCAATTTGCTGGTTACATAAAATGAGATTCAGAAAATAGCATTCGTGATTGTCAACTTCTGTTGAAAAAGCTCTTGCTGTTTTTAGGAATTTTCTGACTGTACCCATGTTAAAAATTCTAATTTCTAATAATTTTGCATATTGTTTTACATATTGTTATCACTTGTTTATTTGTTTGTTTGCCCGTTGTGAGATATACTGATAAAACCCCTATACTGTACAATATTAGTAACATATGATAATAATCTTTCATATGATCAAAATATTGACATACATCTTAGAGATCTATAGTAGAATACATTGTGATGATATTTTACAATTGCTCACCTAAAACTTTAGGGTCTATTTTACTAACAGGGTTGGTTCCATATAGTATTGTATGAGACTCTGCATGACATGACTGAAGCTCTTCCATAGTGGCCTTGCGTGTTTTGATTTTCTCGCACTGATCTACAAGATGTGATTCCTGCAAACGGGCCCAAATGCTCTGCAAGCGTCCCGCATGTTCTATATGGTTATTATTATTGCCGCAGACACACTGGTGTTTCAGCATTGCGTTATCGTATGCTATACCTGTGGTATATGTGTATGTCACTGGGGTTGTGTCCTCAGCAGTAGACTGCTGGGTCTGTGGTTGAGACTGAGTGGACGAGGCTGTTGTAGAGAACTTAACTATAGGGCTAGAGTGTGTGCGATTGAGTGGGGGAGGATGTACATGACTTGGAACAGCCGATCGCATATTTTCTGTACTGTCGTGACTGTTATCATCATGCAATCTGTACTGTCGTAATAATTCTCTTTGCTGGTATAGGAATGCCTGTTGGTCTTCGTCGCGAGAGTCTGTGGATTTGGAAGGAGATTCATTTACAATCATTACATCTTCCTCTTCAAGTTTGTCTCGAGATCGGGAGATGTCCCGAGTTTCCCGCATTTCCTGTGCTAGTTTAACTTCAGTCTCTTCATCCACATTCTCCATGTGGTTCTTACTGCTAGACCTCTGCAGGACAGCCTGGCGCAGATGCTGTAATATAAAAACACAGACAATAGTAATACATAGAGCTCTTGATTTTCATTTAAAAACATTCCTGAAAATTTGAAAACAATGTACCAAATATAAAAATATAATAGGGTATTAACATGACAAAATGCCATCACCTAGTTCAGATGTGTTTTAGAGCAATGGAGTTGATAATCCAGAGATTATCTATGATTTCAAGTAATTGTAGAACTCAACGAGAATTGTATATTAGCAGTTGTGACACTATTCTATCATTTACCTATGAGATTTTTGATCACTATAGTACAGAACTAATAGGATCAACATCTCATAGTTTTTACCAAACCTTCTGATGCTCCTTATTAACATGGCCTAAAATATAACATGATAATTAAGTTAACCTGTTTAAGATAATGTTTCTGGTTTTCCTTAAGCAGCTGTTCCTGATGTTGCTGCTGTATAGCCAGAAGGTTCTGCTGCTGTAGCAGTGGGTGCTGCAGAGGCAGGGGAGCTGACTGGGTCCTTCCAAGAGGCCTGTGTCTGGAAGAAAACACTTCAGTAATACACATATATCTCCCTTGCATTTACGAAACTTAATTATCTTGACCATTTTAGGCAAAAAAAAAGAGAATTTTGACTGATTGAAAACAGAACGACCTACCACCTACGTATGATTTCAATACAACAATTTATCCTATGCCAAGTAGAGTTTTAGGGAGATAAGTTGGTAAGATATATCCCGTATCCTGATTTTGAGGTTTCAATATCCAGAACCTCCATATCTCCCGCCATATCTCCCGCTTCGGTGCATATCTTCCCGCTTCGGTGCATATCTTCCCACTTCTGGTAATTTCACTGAAAACTCTACCTGGTATAGGATAAAGCAGTTATGTACGGTCGGTTTGGATATTGGGTTCATATCTCCCTCTGGATAAACCCCATATCCAAAACCTCCCAGTACATAACCCTTATTTATCTTACTTTTCCCAAGGCCATATTGTATAAGTATCAGCCAGGGCTAGTGGCTTGGAGCCAGTTAGATATATAAGATCTGGATCAGTAAATGCTCATGCTTCACCCAAAATTTATTGATAATACTCGATCAGTTGATTACCAATGAAACATCATCTTTTACTCCACTTACCTGTGCAGTCTAGCATGTGCTACCTGGGCATCAGTAATGCCCCTGCTGCCTGCAAAGCCAGATGCCATCTTGCCTGGACTCTGAGTCTGTTCCAAGGCCTTCATTTGGGCTGATAGATAGGCTTGGTTCCCTGGTGCAGTGGGGCTAGTATGTTCTCCATCTATCACTACAAAAGTTACCAACAGTTTTAATGGGGTAGAAATTAATATTGATAATCAAGGAGTTCTTGTTCATTTTGACAGAGAAAAAATACTAAATAATCATTATCTACAATATAAAAGATTTGTGACATTTAGTCTGAATTTCCTACTACATATACATATGTTTCAGTGTTTTGAGCAAAGTGGACTGACCCAACTTTATTCCAGCATACACCTACAGCTGTAAACTTACCGGTGCTCAATGACTAACAATATAATATTGTGTTCAGTATGTAAATAATAATTATCTCTACAAAACTAGTGGTTGCATTTACTTTTTAAAGTCCATACCTGGTAAAGAGGGGAAGTAGGGCAGTGTGCTGGGCATCATGTGACCTGTCAGTGGGAGACCAAACCTTGCCGCTCCAAGTGCTCTCAATTCAGCCTCAGAATGCTCCTGAAAACAAACATATATTGAATGAAACCAATGGTGTGGAGTATGCCAATTGGTAGTGAAGAAATCAGAGGGTTTAATTGATACATTCAACTTCTTCAAAAAAAATCTCACAAGATAAAAAAATGTAAATAGAGAATTAACATTTGTGACAAAATTATCTTAAGATCGGATGATTTGGTCTTGGTATCAATATGCAATATGTCTCATGTAAAATCTATACAGGAGAGTTACTTACGGCTGTAGTGGATGAGCTGGAAGGGTTGGCAGGCCTGCCCAATGAGATGTTGGGCAGTGAGGGGGAGGCATAGAGCATGTCCCCTCCTTGGCCAACCATATTCTTCATCATCTGTAAAGGCAAGGGGCCCAGCTCCTGGAATACATAAACAGACGAGGTCATCTTAATGGAACATGTAGCCTAATTAGATCAAATAGAACAATAAAACAGTTTCAAATGGAATATGTGACTTTTCATGTAAAAATTACCAATAAATTAATATTTCTCGAAAACCAATATGATTTATTGACAATGGTTAATTTTTTAACCATATTTTATGAGTAAATGTCAAAAGCTGTTATTCAATCCGCCAAACTAAAATGGCAGGCAAATTAAAGCAATTTACAGTACCAGGGATGAACAAAAAATGAATGTCGATATGACCTAACACGAATAGGGAGTTTTAATTTATACAACAATGTTGACGAAAGAACTGACTGACCAACTCATTGATGATGGCCTACCAACAAACAGATCATGGTTGATCCAATAATCTCACTGCTATGTGTGAGTCCAATCACATCTTGACTATTTTGACTTTAGCAATACTGTATCACTACTATAAACTAAGCTGGTTAGAATAACCTGTAACACAACACTGTGTTTCTCTAAGAAAAAGAATTCAGATACATGATTATAGGAGATGCACTGACTCAACACAAATCAAGATGTCTATTTAAAGCTTGACAAGGTTACTCTGATCGTTAGCTAGATGTTAGCAATGAACTTGACTAGTGAATCGATTGTGACTTGTTTATAGAGCTTCACATTGGTTACGTCAATGAAACATTTAAAAATACATTCATTTAATATAATTGACCCGCATCAAGCCCTTACAAACATCTTTTCAACAATGCATTGTTGGTTGGCTTTTTATTTTATTTTGGTTTATCTGTTGATTTTTGTTCTAAATGTAGACCTTAACCTTGTCTAAGTCAATAGTGAAATATTGGTCCATGCGGGGTCCACAGCAGAGGTATACATTGTTACCTCTGGGCGAGTGAGCATTTGGATAATGTAGTAATGCTGATATAGTGATATGAGGTGGGTAGCTTTAATGCTTATCCAAAATTAGTTCGGTTGATGTCTTTTATAGCACATTCTATACACATATATCTGCTTACATGTTTATTTTGTATACATGGTTTATGTATTCAGACATCTAAATAAATAAATGTTTAAATAAATATTTAAAGTGATAGGTAAAAACCAAACCACTTCCGCTAAAACTTCCTGTCTGCCCTTACAACTCAAAGCTTTGTATGATTTCTTCAATCAATGCACCAATTATTTGCATTATTTTGATATTATATTTATTCATATAAAGTATAGTACCATTAAACAAATCTGGTTGAACCTGCAGATATGTTCTAATATGTTAAAGCTGCTACGTGACCTATTAGACACAGATGAATAGAACCACATTGATCAATACCTAACATCTATAATAAACTACCCTTTTAAAGAGTTCTACTTCACCTACACTCTTGCATTTTAAAATACTAAACCAAAGGAACATTTTTGATCTAGCTGCATCTAATCAGACAATGTGCTGAATAGACGAGATGCGAGCAGAAATAATCTTGATTTATGTCATTAAATATTCAAAATTCAGTCAAAGTGATGTCATATTTGAAATCTAGATGTAAAAGCACATCTAGAAGAATGGTTCCGCCATACACAAAAAGTGAAATATATTTTCTTGTATTGGACAGAAAACATTTTCTGTTACTGGACATATTTTGATTTGCATAACTATTAGATACATAAGGGTTATATGAAAATTGAACCACTAAAACAGATGTAATCTAAGTTAAAGGGAACTTTCTACTATACACGCCATGCTATCTGACCCGAAGGAGCCCCCTAGTGATGAAACTACCTACTCGCATCTGCGTTATCGAAAAATCAATATTATGTTTTCTACCATATATAAAATGCAGCATGAAAACTAAAAAAAATTATCCATAGGACAAAAATCATGTGTTATAGTTAGAGTGAAATACGACTAGCAAATTGAGAATCAGGGTAATAATCTCTCAAGGCTTCCACATCTCATAACCTTTACATCAGTGAAACAGAGCAATTTCTTATTATCTCTTTCCCAATATGAATAATTCAAAAGAATGCTATTTTTAGAAAACGAGACATGAGTGTGAGGCTAATATCTTCATAAATGTCAAGACTTACACTAATCTAATATTTCATTTGGAAGGAAATATAAATCTTAACCTTCATAAGAGGTTTAATTCATTTAGACTCTTTCAATCAGAGATAATTCTTAAATCTAGCTACCCTGACCACAACGTTTAGTTATAACGTAACCTCTGAATGGTTAAGACAATTTTACCATTCAGTCGCCCAGCCCCTCCCTACTAATGGTAGCTATCACAGCTCAGGTCCATTTTCTTCACTGATTGTTTGTGAAATCTGGTTGGCTTGGCGAGTTCAGATGTTTCTTTTAAACTAAAATTGTGAAGAGAAAGCTATCTTTTAAGAAGCTAAGCAAAATGAATGGTGAAGGGTATGATCTAGCCTACAGCAAATCAGATTATGGTGAATATTGTGAGAACATTCTTTCTACCTAAGTATAGCTATCATTAGTTAAAAAAAAAAAAAGTTACACTAACATACAGGTTATACCTGGCATTATTATTATCAGCATTAAAATTGCAAAATCATGTCAATCAGGGTATCTAAATATTCATTGATCACAATTTAAGTTAATGTGCAATAGAATGTAGTGCAAATGCGTAGGCGAGAATATGTAACAATATTTCAAGATGTAACTGATATTTAATCAATGGGGAATTTTATGATTCTTTATTCAATAGCTAAATAGATGGGGATCATTAATCGTAGATCACAGGGTGATATTTTCTATTTAGTGTTCTCAAAAATGCTTGGAAAAATAATCATCACAAATATTGTAGAAATAACCGAAAAAATTCACAAATGTTATCCAATACATACTTCATAAATAATACTCCCTATACTAAACTAGGTTTTGATTAACCTACATTTATTTTCATTTGATTTCTGACTCACATGGAGTTATTGGTTCTTAACTCATTGCAAAAAGGTCTTTTCACATATTATATTAATGTATTTTCACAATAAATAGCATTAATAACTTAATTATGCAGACACAAAATGAAGTTTCCTACAGGCATAAGACCGAGAAGAAGACATACACTTATTACTTATATAAGAGTATATAGAGGAATCCTTACAAAATTCCAAACAATAGAACATTCTTTTATCCTTCGTTGCTACGGTAATAGTGACGCATTGCAAGATCCAAAAATAAATCTGTATATATCAACCTATTCTATTTATAAGGGTTCAGACAAGAAACTTATAAGCTCTGATTTAATGAAGGGATAATAATGAAAATTGTCTTATTACTTATTTTCTAAATTTAACTAAATATCAACTGCTATTTCATTGGATTAACATGTTATGGTTATTTCACAAAATGAAATGATTTGGATAACATGTTTTTACATTCCATTCAATTTCTTTCAATAAATAACCTATCATCAATTTGCCATAGCAAACCAGAACTTAAGATGTTGGTATCACTATATTTCTTAAATACATAGTTGTTTTTGTAAGTACACAAACTAAACTCAATGAGCTGGAACTCCTTGTTTTTAAGTCTTCACTTCAAACACTCTTGATCAGCAATTATACTTATATTTACAGCAACCTTGTGCTTTCCAATACTAAATATAGTACCTCACTCTTTATGAAAGATAAATAGTTTGTACAAGTCAATAGATCAATTTTTCACAGAAAGCCTCATTTGTGGTTATTTCCAGGAGAAAACATCCTATCTGCATCACTGTTACCATGACAACCAAATCTCAAAAATATCTTTTTTCTTATCATGGAGGAAATTCTAGGTTGATGCTTCAAAGGAAACTGGTGAAGTTCATCTAGCTGTCTGCTATAAGAGAGACATAATGAGACAGCATCAAGTGCAGCTCTCCATGAGATTAAAGAAAACTTAAAACAGGTTGTTTTGTGCTAAAAACAGTTGGGTAAGCTCTAATGTCTTCCTCTGCACTGTTGTAAGTCAATTTGAAAACGTTACATTGAATGGAACTAGCAATAAATAGCTCTCTTACCAAAACCATATATCCATGGCTGCAAATCTTTGACTTTCTCACTGTACCATGTCATACTTATAGCTAATATATTTATACGGTCTGAGATCAATTTAATAATACCATATACAGGGTGACCACAAGAAAATGTTATCCTCTAATTTTGGAATAACTTTGTCAAATGTGATAGATTTTTTTTGTGTAGATAAAGTGTTCAATAGAGAAAATAGTAGTGTACTTATATTGTATCTATGATTTTTAGACTTAACTTGGGATTTCTGTCTTAGCCATTATTTGAGTCATTTCTGGATTGCTTTGATACATCATATTATCAATAATATGTCAAATCTGCCCATTTTTCTAAAATAATTTTGTAACATGATGAATTGACTTGCCTAATAGGTAAATTTTAAGAAAAACAGATTTCCTAACATGATATCTCCAAAGTTCTAAGTTGCTTCTGCTGTGTAAGCACAATGTACTCGGTACATCAATTTTTAGTGAATTGAACTAAAAAAATGAAAAATCATGAAGATTCCTCTATATTTTACTCTAAACTAGAAGGTAACGTTTTTTGTGGTCACCCTGTAAGTCCTACATCTACACCTTAGGCTAGTGTCCTTTTCTATCATTAGTCCTTAATATAACCTACACACGTCAATACTAATAAAAATAGATCAACTTCTCATGATACAAGACAAGATATAAGAGAAATTCTGAACATTCACCTCTGTAAGTATCTCTATATATATGTATCTCAAGGCAAGATATACTTTCCGTTATTAATCAAAATGAAGACATTGGCTTCCACGTGGCAATTATTGGTCTCCCTCTCCTATTACTACAATATTATTTTACCTTCAGTCGTCAAATTAAAGATGTGTTCAAAACAAAAATATTTACTGTATCATTGTTTTGCATACCTATTCAATCCTACTAAGAATCAACAAAAAATGGAAAGATGTTGTATATAGAATATGTACAATATACTGGAAACATATTGTATTTAACTTAAGTAAACTAAGGATAGTGCAATGTAAAGTAGTATTTCACCCTAACAGAGTACCACATCATAGGCACCATCTCGTATGTTTCACACTTAATTCAATGTTTTTTGGGTGGTTGGGTGGTGAATGACCATTTCATGAACTCCAACGTATGAAAAATTTTAAAGAACAATTCATGGGTAGTCCTAAGAGTTATGAAATGGATAATGTGTCCAATTTGAGCGATATTTGCTAAAAATGACGTACCTCTTTATGTAGTGATGAGATGCTACCACTCGACCCCACCGCAGAACCATTGGGAGGCGAATTAGGCCCTGAATCAGGATTACTGTGACATGATAATGTGGTGTCGACTGAAATGAAAAAGAATTATTTACTGAAAATATCAATAATCTCAAAATACAATCCTTCTGTGATCTTTTTTTACTCTAGTTGTGGTGTCCTTGAGAGAAAAAAGTGAGAAAGATGGGTTCTCCTCTAATAGTTTGAACTGAACAGTTTAGGAAATAAGGTCTCAATACTGGTTAAAGTTATATCTGAATGAAAGTATGGCCAAAAGGTTCAAAGTATACATGATCAAATTATCTAGAGGTATGTTTTGTCATCAATATGCTCGGACTACAATCTTTTGACATGACTGAAAGCATTGCTCCAGAGTATTTCAAAGTGTGTGGAGAAAGCAGCAAGTTTGTTAAATATTTACAATACTGTATTCAATATCAATATGTAATAATTAAAATGAATTTACTTTTAATTTGTACTGTTGGGGAAAAAGTTTTGAATCAATAAAACAAGCAGAGATATAACTGCAAAAAATTGAGGAAAGGTTTCATTTGGCAAGGGATAAAAAAATACTCAAATACATAATTTAGGATATCATTCTAACAGTTTTTTTGTCATTATATATGGCTTCCACTTAGCATCCGTGGCCTCTACTAGCCTTCTATTTAATAATACACGGGTTTAAATTATGGTTTTGTTTGACGTCAATAGCATGCTGCTTATTACTGTATGATAACACCATGCGGTTAGAAATTCACAATTACTACTCATGTCTACGCTATCTAAAATATATTAACCAAACACAATTCATGATATGACACTTGAAACATTCATGAACGGCTTCAAAAGGTTTAATTGTTTGATAACTGATGTCAAAATGTCATCCATACACCACCCACTGTCATAAAACATAATCCTAATAAAAAAAATGAAATAGGTGGTATTTTGAATGTTCATGTATTTATTGCAACATCAATCTGATTTTCTTTGTCAGGATAATTATTTCATTCTGGCTGAATCACATTCTCATATTTATACTTAAGTTCTTACATATGAAGAATTTGGGCCAAATCAACACCTCCTTTCCAAACAAGGTTTACTCTATATATGTACAGTAGTCAATTCTCTTCTCACCAGTGGAAAAATGAAATACTCACTTGTGAGAGGTGTTTTTCTTTTAAGTGGTAATGGAGTGCGATCTTTGCGTCTTAATAGCGGACTACTGCGCCGATCCAGAACTTTCTGCTTTAATACAGATCTCACTTTCAAGTTGGGTTCAGATGCTGAAGAGAGAGACCTTGAGTTAGTAATGGCCACATAATAGCACGTCCAAAGTATGGAGAATATGGATGAATCTTTCATGTTATATAAGTCCCCCTAATTAGCTCTCAACACTCAATTTTTATAATATTTAAAGAAACAATTTTAACCAAAATCAAATAATAAACGTTTGCTATAACATGTAATGATTTCTTGAAATAAACCAGGATCTATTTTTGAATGGATTTATTATCACATTTTTTTAATATGAATTTTTGAAATATAAATAACATGTTTTTTCACCAATTATGAATCAAACATCAATAAAATAGATTAAATAGATTAATATGAGAAAGATTTGATTAAATTGTCAGTTGAGTGTTGCTGCATTAGGAGAGACGATTATAAGGATGATGGATGATGGTAAAGAGGCTATGATATCAAATCTGTTAATATCCAACATGTCACGATGCATTAGTTCCAAAACGCATCTATAGGTAGCGCCACATACTGAATCTCGTGCAACATACATCAAAAATCGCACAAACCCTTAAAATCTATACAAGTCATTAACATGACAAAATGTCACCACCTAGTTGCTAATAATATTATTAGTTCAATCCCAAGTCAGATTTGAACTTCTGAGAACTTTTAGATGATTTTGAAAAAAACTGAAGTCAGTCTGAACTGTATTTGTTAAGTTATTGGAAGTTTTAAGAATTTGTTACAGACGCCAACCGCCGATCACCAACAGCCGTCACAAAAAACGGACACCATAACAATATGTCACCACGTTTTGGTGGTGACATAAAAAATGCTAAAATAACAAGACTGCGCAATCTTCATTTTGTAATCCATTTAAGGTTAAGACATCTACAGCTAAGTAGCCCTGGAGGTTAAATATATACAAATTATAATTTAGCACATATAATATACCCACAAATCTCATGCTATTATTAACCTACACTAATTCAAACTTCAACCTAATAATAAAACAGTAATTAGCTATGCAACTGGAAATATGAAAATCAACTTTTGTAAAAGTATGCATGAGAAAATGTTAAAGAAAGTGCTATGCCTTTATATGTGTATGGCCATCTAGTACATCCCCCATTGAAATATAGGCCCATCTATTAAAGCCTCCAATTCAACCTAGTAAAACTGCCTTTCCTTTGAAATAAAGGTCTGTGTAGCAGAACCAGCCATTCATTGAAATGAAGGTCCAAGTGATGAAAAAGTCTTCAATGGGAGGACCAAGGGATTTAGTGACATACCAAGTAGCCAAACAGTGGTCACATAAAAAGATAAATGAATTCCAAATTACCTGTTTTCCGCAGTGGGAAATCATCATCATATTGTCCCAGCATTCCTGGGTGTCTGTAGGGGGGTGAGAGACCACTCTGGGGTGGGGAGCTCTGCTCCAGAGAATTATGGTGAACAGCCCTGGAGGAAATAGAATGTACATATAATCATCAACACATATGCATACATGAATATAACATGAGAAAAGTGGGACACAGTAAGTTAAAATTAGATCAAGAAAATTTATTCTGTTACGAATGAATAAACTTTCTATCATGAATAAAACTGACTGAGAATGATGTAAAACAATAAAATGATAAAATCCAATCACCAAATCTGATTCAACATTGATCTTAACAAATGAAATCCTGAGTAAGAGATTCCTGAAGATCTCGAAGAACCAACTTTGCTTGGACTATCTCTTCCATTCTCTGTTTTACCTTTTAACTATCTCTCCCCTTCCTATATGGGTATAACAGTATGATATTAAATGTATAAAGATTTTTGTTTTATACCTCATCTACATCCAATATATACTTTTTAGTTGAATTTTTTTTTATTTTTTTGTATTTTGATTCTAAATATTACAGAAATCATGATATAGAAAAGTCATCTACCGGTTAGAGTAATATATTTGGTTCCTCCTTTGGGATGATATGATATCTTCCTGTCTGTCCCTTCAGCACACAGTACCATATCATATTAGCCCTTGGGGCAAACTTAATATACAACCTCCCTAGATATAACGTGGATTGTTACAGCCAGTTTATCATTGCACTTAAAGTCATTTCAACATTCATCCACTTAGACATATAGGGGAGGGATCTGTCTTAATCTTAATTACAAAAATCAAATGAGAGGAAAAACAGAAAAAGCTAGGACAGTAAATGTATCCATTGTTATTTTTGGTCTAAATTTTGCTCATGTATACATGTATAATTCATGATATTGTAATTGTTTAATTAGCATAAGGTATAGTGTAAGATTGTTTTAATTGTCAAACTATTCTTCAGTATTGGAGGCTAAATAAATAAATAAATGTGACATGCCAATGCAAAAGTTCATCTGTTTCATATTTCCAAACATGCAACAATGTAGCCTGGAAATCTTATCTCCACTTTTAATTCCAATATAATACGATACATGACCAGATGTGACTCATGTTATTTATACTTTAATGAACAAATCTTAAAATATACAAGTATCAAAAAACATTCAGAACTACCTATTTGCACTACCATTAGATGCTGATATTAACTAGAGGTTTAAGATTGCAAGCAATCTTAAGGAGGCCCCGTAGGCTTTTTTGAATATGTAAAGGTCAGCCAAAGCACAAATCTTAAATACAAGGTCATATATGAACTCCAGGCATCTTGTAGATGATTTTTAAAAAAACATTTGGTCAATTTGAAGCAAGTTGAAATTTAGTCTTGAAAAGTTTCGAAATGTGACATTTTTTCAGTTTTTGAGTTCTAATATCTCGAAACTGGAGCAAAATTTTAATAAATAGTCAATTGCTAATATGTGTAGAGCCTTTAGAGGAATATATATTCTGACTTTCAGTAAAAAAAATTGATTTGTAGTCTCCAATTTTGAGAAACTTAGAAAACACAGTTTGTGATTTAGTGATGTGACCTTGACCTTTGACCTTGCAAATTTTACTTTTTTGGGCCTCTTAAGGTCTTTTGTGATTAAATGCACCTAAATTTGAATCCAGAAAATCGATTTAAAAAATCAACTTTTTTTACCTTTCCGAGGTCACTGAAGGTCAACTAAAGGTCAAAGGTCAAAAGTAAGGTCAGATTTGGAATCCTGACAACTTGTAGATGATTTTTAAAAAAAAAATTGGTCAATTTGAACCAAGTTAAAAAATGACCAATTTTTACCGTTTTTTGACGTCAATTATCTCAAAAACGGTAAAAAATTAACGCGAAAATATAGTGAGCAATTCGTAGGGAATGCTTATATCTAGTTACATTTTAATTCATCGCAAGAAATAATGAAGTATGAGGATGAAATCTGAGAAACTTAAAAAAAACTTTGATTTGACCTAGATTTTGACCTTGACCTAGATAAAAATTCCTTTCCCCCCAAGTTCAGCCAAGGTCCCTGGTAGGTGCATGAAGGAGATGGTTGAAAGGTAGTTGGAAGTAGGAGAAAAGGGTTTAGGAAGAATAAAGAATAATAATAATAATAATATCTATAAAATTAATAGGAGGCCCCCCGTTGGGGCCTCCTAATAATATTTCCAAGAAGTAAGTGAACTAATAACAATTTAAAAATGTTAAGGGTGCATCTTTTGTAATGTGCACTTGGTATGCTACTAACTAGACAGAATTGTATCAAAGTCTATTGATGGCACAAACTACATGTTGAAAGATCTTTGAAACATTGGTATAAGAATTGAGGACTGGGGTCTGTTGAGTATCTTATTTATATAAAATGAAACCTGTGTATATTGAAATTTTTATGTTCAGTGTTGGTACGTGTTCATTACAGAGAGAGAGTAATTTATACAGAAGTCAATTCTACAATATTTTCATGTGGTCTTGTTGTACCTTGTGTATAAGTCACCCTTATGAGACATTATCCCATACAAAGGCTCCATTCATTAGATTATAACCATTTTCACATTAGAATATAGGTACAGTACATATACATATATAAGTGGTTTACCAGTCTGGACAGAAAACAGCTATTAAGTGGAGAAAGACATTAAAAAAGAAAAATGTTAAAAGTCATCAATTATGATTTGAAATGTCATAATCAAGGCCAAATATAAATACCAACAATCAATAAGCAATTTATCAAATTAACAGCAAAAATAAACACTAACTGTCTGAATGATTTCAACAAAACAATTTTGTATATAGTTATTTTTAGTTCCAGGTTAATATACAGTATCTATTTCCAGTTTAAATATAGTCGGAAATGAGCAAGTAAACATGAATATCAACTGACCGTTATTTGAGTTGTAAAAAAAAATTTCTAATTTGTAACTATAAAATGTTAAAAAAATCTGACAACTGGTACTCGAGTTATCACCTGGACAGACAAATGAACGAACATATCGGGGATGGAAAAACAGACAGAGGGCTTCTCTATATTCTTCCCATGAAATAACAAATAAATCAGCCCCCCTCCCTAATATACCCCACTGATATTTCATGTTAGTTAATCCTTACACGTAAAAGTTGAAGTATAATGAGAAGGCAGTGAGGAAAAAACAACCTCATATTAAGATTAATCAATAAATTACAAGTAACTTGACATAAACTCAATGTCAAAGACAGCTTATTACTATTATTGAATCTCAAAATTGCATTACTATTGAACCAAGTATTATATAAGTACATATAAGAAAGCTGCTGTAAATGATGCAAGGAATGGTTTGTTTTTTCCCAATCCAACAACTCAATTATGTTGTCGTAAATGTACTATATACCAAAATAAAAAAATTGCAGTTTTTCTCTTATTCTAACGTTGCCTTATGTATTATTCCATAAGATAATTCTGAAAATGATGCCTTATACAATATTAAGTGATAGATACCAAACAATTTTACTCTGAGTTGCGTTTGCTTAGATGGTAAAGACCTGAAGAGATAATACAAGCAATATCAGAGTTTAAGGTCTGAGTGCATCAGCTCGAGATTATGGAAAACAAATCTTAATGGAAACATCTGACATCAATGCTCTTAAAATAGAATATTTTTTTCTTCTGACGTCAGAGGTTTGTGTGATAACATTGACTGTAAATACTCATAAAAAACAAGTTGAATGTCATCGACCAAGTATAAAGAGTATACTAAATCATCTACACAAATAAGGTCATGTCAAGACAATCATCATTATAGGCCCTTGCAAATCCAAATGTCTGTTTACATGCCTGGTCATCAAATTACCTAGTCAAACTCTTCATTTTTTCACATTTAGACATTTTTTATTATAAATTTCTCTACTGATAATTTTTAAAGTAAAATAATATACAACTCTTCCGTCTTTTATTATAGAAAAGAATATCTTGCTAATCGGACAATTTATTTGTAAGGGCTTTGTGGATCTTACTTGTAAATATCATAATAGGCACACAACCAGCAGTTCTTACATTGTATTTGTTTACAACCAATGCTGGTGAGTAATACCTCTTGGATATATATCCCATTTCATTTTCTGGTCATAACTTAATAGGGTAAACATAAAGACATTCCCAGGAACTTCTCATTGAAGGAGTCCTGTGTTATTTTATACATACTGATCCCTAGACCTAAAAGTATATACCATTGCCGTTTGTGCAAGTTGTAGATCACTCACTCAAACACAATGAATTTCATGATGCAACAAGCAAATAGACTTACCGAACCAGGGACCACTAGTTGAACCAGTACTTGAACCAGGAACCAGTACCTGAGCCGGGGACCAGCACTTGATCCAGGGACCAGCACTTGAACGAGGACTCAGTACTTTAACCAGGGACCAGCACTTGAACAAGGAACCAGTACTTGAACCAGGGACCAGTACTTAAACTAGAGACCAGTATTTGAACCATGACCAGTGCTTGAACCAGTACTTGAACAAGGGACCAGTGCTTGAACAAGGGATCAGTACTTGAACCATGGACCAGTACTTGAACCAGGGACCAGCACATGAACCAGGAACCAGTACTTGAACCAGGGACCACTCAATATCGCATTAATAGAATTCATCCTTACCTTTAACAAATACTGTTCAATAAAATCATTCTCATAAATAAAAAATTTATATTTTATGAACAAGTTTTTGTATTGTGTGTATTTCACACCTTATATTCAACTGGGACTAACCCCTGGGAATTCTTTCATGAAAAATAAATGATAAAAGTCTGATGTTGACAAAACAGAACTGATACTGATTTGGCATATTTTACCTGACCTTGTATCTCGTAGAAGCATGTGTGAAGATTAATACCTGAATCTAGCCCTACTCACTGAATCTAGCCATACTAACTAAATCTAGCCATACTAACTAAATCTAGCCATACTAACTGAATCTAGCCATACTAACTGAATCTAGCCATACAACTGGACAATTACTGAACATTTTGCACTTCAATTATAATGATCCCAGATGTAACTTTCATGGGGCTTTATGGGAGTTTAAATATGAAAGGATTGTTAGCTTCTAATATCATACTCAATTCATGAACATTCCTAAAATGTAATATTGTATTTTTTACTACATACTCAGATTAGATGAAGGAAAAATAACAAGACTCATCTCTTATTGGCAGAGTGCATATTAAGTCCAACTCTGGTAAAGGGTGGGATATTTGTACTAATAGTACATTTATTGAACCAACATATCTCGAGGGCACACTTTGTTTACTTAATTTATTTCGGATCAATCATTTTAAGAAAATCTCTGAAGGGAAAACATTTAGAAATTGAGCCTTGGAAATGGTGAGAAAATCACTGTTGTGCCAACACTGCAGTGGAACAAACAATTTGATTTCAAATATAACAGAATGATGTTCTTGCCATTTGAGAAATGCCAATTCTTAAAATATCACAATAGAATACTACATTCTTCTTTTTCACTCAATGCCACCATAGCTTGCATACTATGTGTATGTTTTTATTCAAAAAGTTAGTTAAAGCTTTCAATGTCATATATGTTTTATGTCCCTGGTAAATAAAACAAGGCATTAACATGCAAAATGTCACCACCTGCCATTTGTTACAGATTCCGAACCTGGAGTGCCAAACTCAGAACACCATCCACAAAAAGTTGTGAGACTATAACAAAGTTGTGACAAAAAATGAACTTCCCTATACTGTTGCATCTGATAAACATATGAACTTCCATGCCCATGATAAAAAATAAATGAATTTCCTGTCTTGTTGTACCTGATTATTGTCAAATATGAAGTTCTATGCCCTTGGATCAAACTGAGAATATAACTTACCAGTGTCTAAACTGTGGGGGTGAGTGGTTTGCCCCCATTGCCTCTCGCTGTTTTTTATTTAAAACAAACTCTGCTAATTTCAATTTTACTTCTGACGAAGCTACTGCACCTGTAACAAATGAACTAAGTTAACAATTCATATTTCTCTGTGTAAATACTTCTGTTTGATTGGGTAAGAGTAGGTGAACAATTTGTACCATCTTAACATTGTATTCTGTAAACTTTAACACTAGATTCATTTGCTTGTTTCAGATCATATAGAATTAGATTTCTTAAAATCACAATATGTATTGATGATGTGAATTACATGTTCACTCACTTTCTTGGTCCTTTTTCTTATTTTTGAGCTGCTCTATCCGATGCCTTTCCTGGCGATCTTTTTCTATCCTTGTGGCCTCTTCCAGTTTTTTCTGTTGCTCAAGGTACTCTTGCTGCTTCTGAACCAACAGCATTTGCTGGAACAGAAAATATAGTCATTGTATTATAATAAGAGTAATTGTATAATAACATATAGTGATTCTAACATAACATCTAGTCATTACTCAATAGTCGCTGTAACAGAACATAGTCATTGTATTATAATAGTGACTCATTACAGCACAATATATAGCCATTATATTGTAGCATAGTCATTGTATTGCAAAAGTCTATTATAAAAGTTGCAGTAACAAAACATATAGGCATTGTACTGTAACACATTCATTGTATTATAATACAAAGTCATGGTAACATGATAAATAGTCATTGTAATGTTACATGTGGCCAATTTATTGTAACATATAGTCATTGCAACATTACATATTAAAAAATAATTAGAGTCATTTTACATAATAATATTCATTCACATTGTGTTAATACAGCTACATTATGTTAGATATTATTAAGATTAGTGATTCCCATTCCCTCCTTTATTAGAACATGCCTCTATTAGACCATGTCTCTATTAGACCATGCCTCTATTAGACCATGCCTTGCCCACAACACCATGCATTGCAGAAACATGCATAACACATGGGAACATATAGTCTAATTCCATGGTGGTTTTCAGTTTTAAAATGGGGCCTGGGTAAGGAAAAATAGGTAATCCATAGGGAGGAGGTAGTATGTTGTGGTAAAATATATCCATAAGTGAATGCCGAATGCATAATTTATTCAAAAGGTTTGTAAAACATTCCTGAATCGTTTATTTGGTGTTTGCCTGGGTAATCAAGGTATCATAGTTATTCAAAGTTCCAGAGTATTCTTTTTTGACACCTTATTGTATCAGTGGAGTTGAATTTTAGATTAATTCATGCTAAGCACAGCTTAGCTTTTGCGATTTTATAACCTTTATATGAAAGAGATGATGAACAGTTAGAATCAGTCAAAAATCTTAACCGAAATCCCTTTCTTGACTTTTTCATATTGTCAACTGTTGTTGTATTGGTACAACTGGTTTTCTCAATTTGCACTTGTTAGGGGACATCAGGTCAGAAACATCATCAATGAGCAGTATGTGAGGCCCTACTTCCCAATTAGACATTCAATTAGGACAATTAAGCAATGTTGTTAAAAGTTAGACATGAAACCACCAAAATAGCAATAAAGTACAGTTTATCAAATCAGTAAATGTAATATTATTATTAGTAAATGGATTAGTAATGGGAGACATGCACTAAGAAGCGCTGCATTGCTGAATAAAAAAGTAAATAAAGTTAACCCAGTGTGATCTAAAGAATTTTTGGCATTGAGTACTTCGAATAAGTATTTTATAAGTCTACAAATAAATCCAGACCCTTTCTATCCCTGGGGATGGATATCATAAGTAAAGGTGATGGTTGGGGCAGTAGGTCGGTAAGGGTGTACCAGGGCTGGGTTATATGGTATAGAAAAAACAGAGGGAAAATACCTCTGGCACTGCCTGTAGTTGGAATAGTCTAGCCTGGGCTAACAAGGGGAGACTGCGCTTAAATGCCAAATCCTCTTTGCTAGGGCTCTACAATTATATAAAGTTAAAAAACGCTCAGTGTCCTAAACAACATCAAAATTAGAAAATATGTAGAATAACCTACTTGCACCAATGCTATTTTCTGTAAATATTTGAACTTGAAAATATCTCAACACAGACTAGTTGTTAAATTCAATTGGCTTTCAGAAATAACATGAGGCGCATGCAGCATATGTCAAGATGCTTTGTGTAGGTGAACAACCTTTTCAAGCCTTTATTTCAGGAAAGAAGTTCTGTATGAGAGACTGTTGGTGATACGAATTGCAGAACTTTACAAATAAATATAAAATTCGGGTATTTTATATAGAGAGCCCTTTTAAACACATGAAAAATTACATACAAATCTAAATCATGAGAAAATAGAAACTGATAATATGTCATGAAACATAAGAATTCTTTCAGTGAAAATCGATAACATTGGTTTGTCCTTTTATGGAAGAAAGTAAATTATAGAATTCTCCCGAGACAATTCCTGATCGTAATCATAAGAGTACATATACACTATTATCATCATATTGTGCACTATCTTATTATGACAAGGAGCAATCATCTTATAATATGGTGCTCAGCCAATCAGAGCCATATAAACAGCATGATTGAGGTTTACCAGAAAAGAGGATGAGTTGTCACACACTCTTTTGCAAAGGTAATAATACACCTGGTATATGCAGCAACCGATAATGGACTGGTCTGGTACAACAACGTGACCAGTGCAGTGCAACAATAATTTTGAATGTAAATTACCCACAACTTAGCTTAATTTGAAATCTATGATATCTTGGAATGTTTGGAAGCTCCCCAATTTTCTATATTTCTAGACGAAGTAAAAAAAAGAAAAAGCCTATTTGTGTATTTCAAGAGTTTCGATGAAAGATATTAAGCTAGTTATTGGAAATTTACATTCAAAAATCATAACTGTTGAATCACACCAATCACGATGTTGTCCAGACTGGTCATTATTTTTGCTGCATATACCAAGGGTGTAATAATTATATAAGTAGCACTGAAGCTTATATCTGATGCTTAATAACTAACAATCAAAGGTGTAAAACTTCACATACATTACACAAATACTAATTAGTCTGTATGTAGACTTATGTGTGTGATTTGATACAATTGTCAGCAAAAGAAATACATATAGTAACATACAATGTTAAGAATGGTGATAAGATGACTGGCACTAATTTTCATATTCCCCAAGGTTGTATGGATGAAGTTAGAACAATTGAAACATTGTACATAAAGATGCTAGCTTTCAGATTTTCCCAAATTGTATACCAATGAAAAAGAGCTAATTTGTAACTTATTATTTGAAAAAAAATTCTGTGCCTTTTTCGATCAAATTGGGTCGTGAATCGCCACAATATAGCGTCTTCGATATCGTCAATGACAACAGAATCTGAATTTGAAATATTTTACAAAGACAACGGCATATGGTTATAATACAGTGTCCATTTAGTCTAGGTGCTCTATTAAACATTCAGTTCATGAAAATCTAATTGCAGCTACGGTTATGTCCGTCATTTGTGACAACGGTATCTGACTTTAACATTGTCAGGCTATTCCGGTGTGTCTTTAAGATATCGGCAAAGCAAAGAGTAGTATAAACAATAGTTTGGCACCAAGCCTCCAAATTCCCCTCCCCCATCTCTATCACCTCTTTTTAGCCCTGGATAGGGATCACAAAGCTATCAAGCAATACCATTAAGATAAGATCCAGATTTTTTTAAAGGCTCAAACAAAACTTTCTCCAAAGCAAATGCAACATACAGCTTTGTGCCTCTTAGATTAGCATAAGCTTAGCATTCAGCAGCAACTAATAATGAAGAAGTAATTCTTAATATCATAATCACAGGTAGTAATAAAAAATAATATCTAATGAGGTTAACAATTAAGAAAAAATCGAATCTTGTCAAACTGAAATTTGGATTATCATCTAGGCAAAATGACCTCTTTCTTAAACAGTATAGCAGCAACATTTTGAAAGAGGAGGGGTATACCCATAATGCAAAAGTAAGATAAGGTAAGGGAGTAGTCTATCTGATATCTAGACATGTACTCAAGATTAAACCTCTGAACTGTAGTTCAGAAATTGACAGAGGTGTCAACTTATTTTTATGTACTTGATACAGATTTTAGAAAGATTTTTCACAACCTTGAAATCTTCAAAAATAATTTGATTCTGAAAAAAACATTAAAGGCCCCATGTAAAGTTTAAACCACTTTGGCTTATATTGTAGTCTTACCCAATGTTATCAAAGTGTGATATGTGAAACTTTTTTTTTTTTATTTCAAAAAGTGGTTTTTGATAGACTTTTTGTTCCAAAATTAGTGAATTTATTTAAAACCAACTTTTAGAGGTCACTCATATCTTCTAATTAGCCACAATTCATACCAATGCATAGCATACATCCTCCCATGTTTTTTGCCGAAACAATTAAGAAAATCTGTTGATAAACAAGCGAGAAATGAACTTATCAGTGCATGAAAATGGTTCTGAGAAAAATGCATTTCAAAATTTTAGTTCTCATAGAAACCAATGGTACAATGATATCTAAAACATAATTCATTCTTCCTTTTAACCTGGTTAGACAATCAACATTGGTTTTTTATGAAAGTCTAGCATATTTAGAAAAGATTGACATCGAAAAAAAAAATTCAATTTTTTTCAAAAAGTTTTTGTTAATCACTTTTTAAGTCCTGACAAATAGTAAATGAATGATAAAAAAAATATTTTCAAACTTTAGACGGGGACTTTAACAGAAGTAGACGATTCTTATTTGAAGAGTTGAATACATGTCTCAAACAGTGTAGCCTATTCTCTTTTCAAGAAGAACCCCCCAAAATAAAAGATTTTAATAAAAAAAAAATAAAAAAATAGGCTTCGCATTTAAAAGTAATAAATAATAGAGCAAAAATCGTTAGGGTCATACAATTTTGATATGTTCCTCCATCTGCATCTGGTGTTCGGAAGCTAGTTTATGCTGCTGTTCCTGGTATTGTTGCATGAGCATGTGCTGTTGAAGGTCATGCTGTTGTTTTAACGTCACAAGCTGCGCCTGTAGCTGCTGATCAAGAGAAGACGAAATATCCCGTCGCGTCAGTATTGGAGATGACAGTGGTGAGGTATGGGGTATATCTGAAAACACGAAAAATGCATGTTGTGAGATTTTAAATGTGTATATACATATGAAATGTTTAATATAGAAGATATAAGGATGTGGTATGGGAAATGTACAAAGCATAAAAAAATGCATAAATGTACATGAAGTAGAATTCATTTTTTGAAATCCAATCAAATGTTCATTTATGTGAGTATTAGAAAAGGTACACATAACCACTGGATCCTTGTAGGTCCCAAGAATGACGTGATATGTCAACGCAAAATATGAACATGTACGTGCATATCATATTTTATAATGTCAAGTATTATTTTTACGACGTAATTAATAATAATATCGTCTCATTTGGTACATTTGAAGCTTTTGATAGCACATTGTTAAATGCCAAGGCACCTATTATTAGTATCATTTAATGGTAAAATAAAAAATAATTTACCATTGTATGTAAAACTATTATTTGTCTAGTTTTAAATATATTGCATATACTGTGCATTTCTGCATGTATGATTTTGTCACAGATAAAAGAGAGAAAGAATTATTGTATGGTATATCTACATGTATATCACGATGTATATGAACTAGATATGTGATTTTTTAGATAAGGGATGGTCTCCAAAAGAAAGTTTCATTTTAGTTTTAATTGTCTCTCTCCTAAAACTTGATTTTACTTTACTTTCACAATTTTACAAAGCCAAATCAGCATTTTTATCCATCCTCGAACAAAATCAATTATATTTTTCCACAAAGGTCAATGCCTGGATGTGATCCATAAGCCAAGTACATCATACTGATTGATCAGTCTCTTTATCAAAAGCTCTATTCAAAGGGATAGCAGAAACTCGGGATCCCACAATGCAAGTACGATAAACAAAAATATGCCAGAATACATCAGAATCAACCCAATCTCACTGGGTGTTTCATATATTAGTACCCTCTCTAATCCTTTTTATTGAAACATATTCAAAGAAAGACAAATTCCAACTGCAGAGGCTTTGTTTCATTTTAACTCTGTGTACAGATTACTCAAGTTATGACCTTGAAAATTGATCAGAATATTAACAAAATTATGCCATTTGTCTTAAATTTGAAAGGGTTTGAACAAAGGATAATGAAGCAATGTAGCATCAAAGTATGGCTCATTTGTTATGCCCACCAAATATATTAAATTATGTATGTATATGACAAAGAGTGCTAGTTCCCATTAATTATGAATAAATGCAACTTTATGCATGTATATACAAATAGTATTTTTTATACATACAGTCATCAAAGGAATCAAAGAATCAAATTTGAAAATGTAGTCAATTAATTTTTTGATTGTTAGTTTTATTATCTATGTATAAAGATGATAACCTATTATTACAACCTTGCAGGGCCTGTTCTAGGGGTTTTAGTACTAGTTGAGAAGGCATTTAAATTGCTATATTGACGTGAGCAATATTGTGTCGGGCGTTAATGACTTTAGTCGGGCAATAATGACATTATCTGCCCGGTTATGTTTCCCGGGAAAAGTGATATCGTTCAGTGTCATTTCTGCAGGCAAAATAGTGAAATATTGGACCTTGGGCCTGCGGCCCTTGGTCCAATATTTCACTACTTTATATTGCCCTTTGAAATGACGTTATTGTACTATTATTCTGTGTTCTGAAAGGGATGTAATAATAGTCAGTAACAAGCCCTTGTGATCCTCTCCCAATTATACCCCGCCCCACAAGTTGGTGTTCAAAGTAGATAGAAGGGGGGGGGGGGGGTGAAGAAAGACTAATGAAGCACAATAACTACTTTAAAGCCAATCCTGTTTATGCCTCTAGCCATTGGTGCAGCTCTTTGGATTCAGGCAAATCTTTCCAAAAATATGATTCTTGAATTTTTGCAGTAAAATTAACATAATTTTGGTCAAATTGGAGTTCAGGCCAGGAATTTGGAGCCCCTCTGAAAAATTAAGACCCCCCCCCCATAGAGGGAATCTGGTTCAGGCCAGTAGTTGTTTATTCATTTCTTTACCTCAAGTAACCTTACTGAAGAGCTCTAGATCTGTGAACTTGACAGTGAAATCTTCAGAATCATCAACAGGTAACATATTTAATGGGAGGACCATCTCTAATATTGAACTATCTAATGTGAACCAAGAGAGAATCCTTCCATAGAACCGGAATTGTTATCAGCTGAGGTGAACTATTTATACACATAGCAGAAAGTACCAAACAGAGATAAATATAACCTTTACATGATTCTCTCTGTATGCTGAAAAATATGTGTTATTTTAGAAGCATCCCCTAGAAGATCATCAATCTGGCATAATATGTTATATTCTTACCTAAGGTAAATTCTGAATAAGTTATACCCTTGAGTTATATTTACCCTTTGCAAAGTACTGCCTTCACATCTCAAAAGATGACTCCATTAACTTGTATTTTACTTTTAGCCTCTAGGTTATTATGTATTAATATCTCCAATTGTCCCAAATTCAACATAATTCAACAGATAAAACATAATGAATTATAAATGGGAAATTTACTTTATCAAACAAATTGCGACAAAAACTTATAAATTATACAAATCGTGGATTTATTATGACATATTTAGAGCTCTTTCACTGAATATATAACAAAAAACAATTAAATAAATTATATATTAGATCAAAACAAAATGTAATGAATAACAAAATAAAAGCAAAATCAACATGATGACACTGAACAAACTACCCTTTGCATTTTTTTGACTTCTCTTCTGAAAGATACTCTAAACCTCTGAACTCGCTGGGCCAACCAGAGCTTCACCCCCCTTTTATAGCCAATTTTGAGTAACTTTTCCCTGGGGATTTCATTCATGGTGCTTATGAGATAAGTAGATTGGAGGAAAGAAGAACAATATGTGCTCTAGCAAAAGGGCTGATGATGTACATGCAACCCCTTGGAAAAATCCCGGACATCCCTGAATATGAGTACTAATGTACAGGCAAATATATTAAAGACAGATATGAGGCATACATGATGATGATGCAACTACATGTACATAGAAGTTGGTTTAATAGATTTCCCTACAGTACTTGTATTCAGGGATGTCCAGGATTTTTCCAAGGGGTTGTACACATCCCTACCATTTTTGAATCAGCAACCATTTTTTAAAGAAATTACGTAAAACATATCCATTATACACTTTTATACCAAATATGTAGAAAATTAGATGCCAATTATGAGTTAATTCCAGAACAAACAGAAATATTCTCTACAACCCTTATGAACCTTTACTCATTAAGATAATAATACATAATGTACAGTAATAAATGTCTAATAAACCAGCCATGAAGGATAAGAATATTTAGTCTCTTAAGTATTATCACCTCTATTACTGTCATCTTCACTGACAATAATTTTTTCAACAACTGTCACCTTGTAAACTAATGTCATCTGATTCTAAGCAGCTGCAGGCCCTTAAAGGCCCCATGTAAAGTTTAAACCACTTTGGCTTATATTGTAGTCTTACCCAATGTTATCAAAGTGTGATATGTGAAACTTTTTTTTTAAATTTCAAAAAGTGGTTTTTGATAGACTTTTTGTTCCAAAATTTGTGAATTTATTTAAAACCAACTTTTAGAGGTCACTCATATCTTCTAATTAGCCACAATTCATACCAATGCATAGCACTCATCCTCCCATGTTTTTTGCCGAAAAAATTAAGAAAATTGGTTCATAAATAAGCGAGAAATGAACTTATCAGTGAATGAAAATGGTTCTGAGAAAAATGCATTTCAAAATTTTAGTTCTCATAGAAGCCAATGGTACAATGATATTTAAAACATAATTTATTCTTCCTTTTTACCTGGTTAGACAATCAACATTGTTTTTTTATGAAAGTCTAACATATTTAGAAAAGATTGACATCGAAAAAAAAATTCAAATTTTTTCAAAAAGTATTTGGTACCTTAGTGACATCACTAATGTTTCAAAATATTTTTGATATGTTAAAACATTGAAGTGGCCCATTAAATATGGCATTTTATTATTGAAATAGTGTGTCCTTTGTTCAACCTTTTCCATTGGTGTTAAAAAGATAATCTTTTTTGAAATGCATTAAGAAATATTTGATGATTAAGAAATTTCAACTTTTTTTGAAAAATGGCGGGAAATTTGAATATTTGAGAAATGAAATGCTCACAACTTTTTTTTCAAAATTTTTTTTTTGTTCAAAAATCTCTAAAATCACTTTTTAAGTCCTGACAAATAGTAAATGAATGATAAAAAAATATTTTCAAACTTTAGACGGGGACTTTAATAAACTAATACGTGATAGACGCAAACATGGTCATTAACATAATAAATATCCCCCGCAATGCATCACTTCAAGTGGGACAAATTTTCATTGGTCCGTTGATTAAACCAAATTCTCCAAACCTTAAAAACATGTTTTTGCGTATTGTCGGGACAATAAAGGTCATACTAATTTCAAGATACAACCCTCACAATTGATATGATATTAGTCAAACATATAAAACATGACATCAAACCAGTGTAATATACACGAGAACTTGCTTCTTTTTCATATCGAGTCATCGAGTCTCAGCTTCCGGGAATTAAGTCGGTGACGTCATCGTAGAACATTTCATGATTATCGTCAGTTTCGAAAAATATTCGTGAAAACGCTTTGCAGATTGCCATAAGGACCTATATTTTCATCGATTGTGCAAATATCCGTGAAGAGGAATGTCAAATAATGCTGAATTGATGTATTCAAAATCGGACTCAGTATATTTCAGTGGGGAAAAAACCCGGATGTAAAAAATCTGTTCCCGGAATTGGAGCTCTTCAACAGGGGAGGTGAGAATATTGTTGTCATTCTGAACTATCGCGTACACCTCTATTGTAAAGTTGTAAACCACCCTCTCGATCTACATATCTCACCTGCTCCCCTGGAGGTTAAGTAATGCAGTTGGTCTATTGCATCAAGCCCCTGTGTTTGCCCACCATATATCTCTGAATCACAGGGTTGTAATATTGATGGGAGACCAGACTTGATGAATGATGAGAACAAATATATTACATACCTTTCCTGTTGATATGAGAAAAGTGATTGTTAATTTCCATCCCCGACTCTCTAGATACGACAGGATCTGAAGATAGAAAATAGAAAAAAACGAATTATATATGGTATACATTTTTTAACCTGTACCAGAGTAATGACTTACAGTAGAAAATGCATGTTCTTCTATCTTACACTCACATGTGAAATGATGAAAGTAAAGATGTAAAGAAGACCATTTCTTATACAAATCTAACAAGACACATTGTTGCAAGATGAAATTTTATCAACCAGTATGTTCTCTAATTCAAACTGGTACAACATGTCAATGTATTATGTCATACAAGGGATATTTACAACAATACAACATTACAACATGGACCCTGAAGAAATTTAAATTCTTCAAAAATCCCCATGCTAGAAATGATAAACTTATTTATGCCAGATGATCTAAAATCTTAAATATTTTTCAGCAAAAGCTGCTATCTTTTTCTGAGGCTATGTAGTTTAACCTTGAAATACTTATAAATAACCTGTAAACTGTTGAATAGCATGTATGATACATGTATTGCCTTAATACATTACAGTTATACAGATTATATATAGAATATAGTAAAATAAATTTACATCGTGTGTTTTTGGGGAAACATCCACTTGGCACTATCTCCATTAATACACTCTTAACAGTTAATCATGTAGGGTGTTAATTAAAATAAACTACATCGTTGACTGATAAGAGATAAAAGCTTAACAAAAAATAACTTTAAATATTAAAAGCAATACATGTACTGATAAAGTCTAGTTTTTTTCTGATTTTCGATTTTGCTTCACCAAATGAATCATTTGAGCAAATCTTTATCAATCTCTAAATTGTTATATAGTTTCAAAAGGGGGCATATTCACCTAGCTCAAGAGTCAAAAGTTGTTAATGGGAACTATGTATAGCTGCTTGGCATTTCTACCTGTTAAAAACCTGCATCTGCTATGATACAAAAATAGATCACAAAAACAAGATTTTTGAAAAATAACGTGGCATGATATAAGGTTCCAGAAATAGGCAATTCTACAGTAGACAGCTGTTATTAATCTACCTAAATCTAAAGCTTTTGCTTATTAGGACGGTTTTGTTGCTTCAAGCCCTTGTGACCCTACTCAAACATACCCCTTGTGACCCTACTCAGACATACCCCTTGTGACCCCTATCCGGACACACCCAACCTTTAAATGTAGTGAAGCAGAAAGGGGTGAGTCTCTGATCTTTATGGATTAAAGACTGATTTTACTGTGATTCTATAGTTTTCTAGTATGCTTTTGGAAAACTTCATACCTTGGAAACCCAAGATGTACGAGTCTCTTGTTTAGCTGTTAAAACTGAACAGTAATGAAGAAAGCAAAGCAATCAATGTTTCTGGTTTCAAAATACACCCTACTTGGATATGTAGAGACCAGATAAGAAATAATGTTGTTGAATGTACATGTCTAAAAAGATAACAGCGATAGAGCATTTTCCTTGTGTTAGTTCTTCATATATTATATATACATGTACTTTAAACAGCCCTTCACATGGTAAAAAAAACATGGTTTACCATGTATTTCTTTCACTTTTAGAGAATCACTATATTTGCATCCAGTCAAAATGAAACATCATGTAAAATTACTTTTTGGAAAAGGCAAGATAAGAATTTTGCAAAACAGCTAAGGTCAAAACTACATGAAGTGAACAAGGATAATACTTAAGGGATACTAATCTTTTTTCAAGAAAATCTAAATTAAGGCTTGAGAAAGGTTGACATTAAATGCAACATTCTAAGGTGACATCAATGTACATCTAATACTGCATCTATTTCAATAGTTTAGAGCTTTCTTAGAACTGGAGCTATCTATCATTATAGTAACTTGGTGATTCGTGGAAAAGTAATTTCTTGCTATATTAATATCCTGTCACACCTGATGCCAAATAACAAAAATAGAGCATTCTAGGTGGCGTATTTTCTTCCTATAAATAGGGGCGTGGTCGTGATAACTTTGTCAAGGTTCCTACAACCTTTAAAGAATAAAATATGATGAAGAACACAATACACTATTGGGATCCATTTCTTCAAAATATTATGGAGCAAAATTTTTGATTCTCAATTTTACTTCATGTTGTAATTAACAATACTATGCTGATATCAGAAATCATCCTGCATTTTTTAAATCATGGTCTATAATTCATATTATTCAGACAGTTCTCTGGATATGTACAAGCAAGCAGTAGTAACAGTTCAATGTTATTAATACACACCATAACAAATGGAATGCAGTGTATTTCCGTAAAACATTCTTGGCTAGTTTAGCAATATAAGAAAGTTCATTGCACTTTCTGGTACTGAACATTTGGCATTTGAATCATATACCATAAAACATGTTAGTTTCACCTACAAGTGATATGACATAATGGTTCAATTCATGAATTTCACCTGATGATACTTATAATTGTACCATTAAATTGAGTGGATTCATTGCGCAAAAGACTTTCCTGTAGATGACACAAACATTTTTGATAAAAAAAACAATTCTACAATAGTATTCTAAGTTGATATGTAACATGTTTTATATGTTAGTCATGCATAAACCATCTATTTTACCTCCAGAGATCTTGTAAGTAAGGTATGAAAGGTGGTGGGGGCATGTGTTACAAGGGATTGAAACAGTAACGCTACTAGAATTGTGACAAACCATTTAAGATGGTTCAAGTTTTTGAAGGCTATTTAACAATGGCTGGCCTTGCATATATTGTGCTCCAGCAGCGCGATTTAAAAAATGATACACATGGGTCTGTTTTTCAATCATAAAATGTTTGTCAGTCTTCGATTTCATTTCCATCTATTCGACTACCTTTTAGCTGTGCAATTAGAATGAATTTCGTGAAAGAGGGGAAATAACAATATACTAAAATTATTCGAAACAAAAATAACAAGACATAGAATAGACCAAATGTACTAAAAGGAACTATAGAATAAATGAAGTGCAATATCTTAGATCTAATATTTGAACAATCTATTCTGAGATTCCCTACATATGTACACTATTCTCCACAAGCTTTTTGTGCTTGGGGTTGAATTTACTCATTTTCAATATAGAAAGTGTCCAAAATTTATAAAAATTTAACTATTAATGAAATTTCAGAGTTTAACTGGACTGTATTTTCAACCGAGTATATGGCAATTTCAACAAATTTCTAAAAGGAAAAGGGTGTGGTTTCTTTACACCCTAAAGTGACTAGTAGTTGCATTAATAAGAGGTGAATCTCTCGTTCATAAGTAAAATCAAGCTACTGAAAATGGTAGTTTCTTCAATACAGCAGGGGATACATTTCATCTTACAAAAATAGAAGAGAAAACACTGTGGGAGGAGGATATTGACAATATGAAGTTTACTAAGCTATAAAGGTATTTGGAATAACAGTTTAAGAAGACAAAACTGCTTTTATCATTCTGTGTTTCGTTAAGCCTAAGTGTGGGAGTAACACTCAACTGAGTTGTTATTATCCAATGCTTATTGATGTTCTTTAGTGCTTCTTCAGTATAATTGATTTTATAGACATCCTTTTCCAAATGGAAGGATGTTCCGTATCATCTGAAGCACAGATAGCTCTTGACATTTTTCATTTAACCTTTTCTATTCTTGATTTTAAAATGGTGTGAAACCAAACTATTTTTCATTTTTAGCCAGTTTTTGAAATATAATATGCCATTTAATAAAATGATCATGCATAACACAATTTCAAATCCTATATATATTCATGTGTTAGACAGATATTAAGAGAGGTGAGTGGGCAACACAACCTTTAAAACCTAATTTCTGCACTGTTTTAGCCTTCCCCTCTCTTAATTGTCTGTTATATCTTTGATTAAATGGGCCAATCCACCTTATAATATATATACATGTAAGCCATATTAGAAGCATGATCAATTTACATGAACTACTTGTTGATTATTTCGACTCAAATCCATAAGTATCTGAAATAGGATTCATATAGGCAAATTATTCTGATGTACAGAGGTTGAGATGAAACTGTCTTTCAAATACATTTAAGTCTTAAAGTCCCTGTGTAAAGTTTGAAAATGACTTAATTTTATCAGCTTTTCATTTCTCAAATATTCAAATTTCCCACCATTTTCCCAAAAATTTTAAAAAATTTAACCATCAAATGTTCCTCCATTCATTTCAAAAAGATGACCTTTTTAACTAAGGAACTAAAGACACACTATTTTAATAATAAAATGCCATATCTAATGTTCTACTCCAATGTTTTAGCATATAAAACATAGTTTGCAACCTAAGAGATGTCATTATGACTCACTCAGATGGCAAAATCTTTTTGAATTTTTTTTTTCTATGTCAATCATTTCTAAATATGCTAAACTTCAAAAATAAACCAATGTAGATTGTCTTACCAGGTCAAAAGGAAAAATATCCATGTACATGTATTCTGTTTTAGAGATTATTGTACCATTGGTTTCTATGATAACTAATTCTCGCTTATTTATGAACCATTTTTCTAAATTCTTTCGGCAAAAACATGTGAAGATGAATGCTATGTATTGGTATGAATTATTGCTCTATTAAAAGATAAGTGTGACTTCTAAAATTTAATTATAAATAAATTCACGATTTTTGTTTAAACTTTATATGGGGGCTTTAAAAATCATGTAGCTATGAGAAGATACAAGGTAAACTGAAAGGCAAATAAAACAAACTTTACCATGACAACATGAAATCTAAAATTGAAATAAACTAAAGTACTCATCAACACTTCCAAAGATCCTTAATTTCAATGTTCTCAAGTGATATAAATAAATATAATTACATATTAACACCTTCAACCTTCAGAAAAATCAAAAATAAATTCAATCTATTTAGTAGATGAGGAAGCCCCGCCTCTTGTGACTCCGACTATATGAGTTTTAATAGGGTCACAAGACCCTCTGGGGTCATGACAAATCTCAGATATTTAACAAATAAAGCCCCAGAGGCGCATTAATGCACCTATTTATTTAGTAAGATAAAAATATCTGCTAATCAAGGATGATAAAAATATTATTATTC